CTCAGGCCCATAGTTTGTCTAATAAAAAAAAAAATATAAATTTATTTAGTGTGCAAAAAGTTATGCGTGGTCTAATATGAAAAAATTACATATCGAATTAAGAATCTCATTTTATGCGTCGGTTAAATATTATTACATTTTCTTATCTAAAAATAAATAAAACCACTCGGTCAACCTGACTCATTGAAAATTGATGAAATAAAGATAAAGCAAGATTTTATTACTAAAAATAATCTTCATAAAATCATTATGACATTACATTATCAATAGGTCAAATAAATAAGCAATCAGTTTTTTTGCTATGAGATGTATTATGATGTTTCGTTTAAAATAGTTTATAGAAATACATGAGAATAAAAGTCACCATACAAATTAATGCATAAAAATCAATTTATTATTAGTACTTTTCTTTATAATTACACTATACATTTGTTTTTATAAAAATAAATATTTGTGAGTTCATATGCTGCCATCTGGTCAGTAATAATAGAAACATTTAACGTGGTGGCACCTTAATATGACGTTGTAGCTCATGATGGCAACGGCCGCCGCCCGGAGGACTGGTACTACACTAATTACACAGATGTCATTGTATAGCTACAAATAAATATTGTAGAATAAATAATTTGAAATGTTCCAGTAACCGGTTCGATTTCAAACTTAAAAATAGTAAAAAATAATACTTATCTCAAAAATAAGAATTATTATTTACTTTTTTTTTGAGCTTGAAGTCGGTTCTATGTTGCTATGTTTTAAAAAAGGTTTTTTTTTTTGGTGATACCTATTGATATATCCGTACCAGGCGTGAATAACTTAATAAGTCGAAAATGCACATTTTTCAGGGCAGCCATTTCTAATTTTAATTTTTTTCTGTAAATTCAGATTTTATGTTATTAAATATTTTTTTATCTCAATGTAATTCATTTGCTTTGAGTTTTCAGATAACTTATGATTATTTAATGAATATACCCTATTTATAATAAAAAAATGACATCAAGTTGTTCACCAATGAGTTATCAAGTTATTCACCTAAGTACCTACTGTAAGTACGTATGTAAAAAAATAAAAGTAATAAGACGTATAATCTCTGCCTGCCTCTTATGGGACTGAAATAGTGATATTATGTAAGTAGGTATGTATAGATAGTAAAAAAACTAATAATTGCAAAATAATTATTTTTATTTCAAAAACAAAGTTATCGAATTAGTTGAATTCGTCTCCCTCTCCTTCTGCATCAGGGTCTTCGAAGTCTAAATCAGGATCGATGTTGGATACGTCACCGTCAATTTTTATGTTTTTATAAAATTCGTGAAAAATAGGATCTATAAGTGGCAATAAATCCATCAAATCCTGCTTTTTTCTTTACTTATTGGTAAAGTCTCTTTTGAAACAACATCTAATTGTATTGTGTCTAAATTGTATTTACCTTTTTTCCTGTAATTTATGACTCTGAAAGGGCTTTCATTGTCTAAATTTGTCGTAAAACGTATTTCTCCGATAGGCTTCTTATACTGCAGCCATTTCACGGGTTGCCATAAAAATTTTTCACCACAAGCATCCTTTTTTTTAATAGTAAATGGACCTTTCTTCGAACTCAATTCTGCAAAATTGAGAAAATTGTCTAGTTTCATGGGTACAATGGCAAATGCGTTATTAATCTTGCAAGATCTTCTCCGTTGCATCCAATCGTTAAGATGGTTTATTTTAAGCTGCGTTTTCTTTTTAGTCCTTTCAATTAGGGAATGATCCGAGTCACATTCCATGTGGCTATGTCCGCTAATCAAAAACTTATGATTGATTGTCTCCAAGGTTGGATGCACATGCAATAAATACATGAACATCATTGCAACAGCATTATTTTTATTCTGGCCACCACACGTGTCAGAATAAAATGTGACCTCTGTAAGTTCACGTGGCAAATTTTGTAAAAAATGCCACAAACATGAAGCAATTTGATTTGCTCCTCGAGCACCGATGGTTTCGTCCCACATGTAACAAGTAGCTTTATCATCTCTTAAGTTATGAATCGTAAGATTGTAAGACCATAGTTGTCTCTTATAAAAAGAGACAGACGTTTTCAGGAATGGCGTAGGTAAGCATCGCTGAAGATCAAATGCATATGCTCGAAAATTTGAACTGCACTTTGCTTCATCTTTATCCTTTCTTTTTTCTGCATAAGCGTTTTCGGCTTGAGATTGATGCTCTCTCAGCTCCACTATAAAGTTGGTCTTTTCCTCTCCTTCTGTTAACGCTATCTTTGTATTCAAAAGATCGCATGTGTGGCAAGTATCTTTAGCCGGTTTTTTGAATGATAAGTTTAAATCGTGAAAACACTGGGAATACAATTTAAGTGAAATAGGATTTGGGCAACTTTCTTTATATAAACAATACATAGCAGCTATAGAAAGGTCTGATGATAAATATTTTTTATTTAATATTTTTAAACTCACACGATTTGTATACATTATAATTATATTCAATCGGGTCTTGTTCGTGCATTTTTTAAAACAATTAATTTACCTCGACGTTTCGGCTACGTTACAGCAGCCGTGGTCACGAGGAGACTGGAGAACTGGCGGGTGTCGTCTTCTGATTTTAGTTGAGGGTAATCCGGTAATAATGTTTTTAACTGATTTTCAGATGTACCCTCCACTTGATTTTATTATACGTAAAGGTGGCGACACACTGCACTTACGGTATCCGAGAATATTGTTCGTGGTTGTTTGCGATCGCGACACTTATACATTTTTATAACCGGATTCCACGTTGGTGAGAGTTTATATCCACTTTCCCGGTTGAAATTGTTGTGTTTTTTGATTACAACCGCTTCACGAACAATCCTTGGATAGTAATGTCGTTCAGTTGAAAGGACATGAGGTGTATGTAACTCGATCCAGTGTTTTGATCCAGATGATAATAAGTGCTCTGCAATCGCGGACTTCTCCACTTGACGATTTTTGACCGCTGCTATGTGTTCTCTTACACGTTCGGCGATAGTCCGCTTCGTTTGTCCGATATATGAACTACCGCAGCTGCAGTCAATTTTATAAACGCCAGGTTTTTGGTAAGGAATACTATCCTTTGGTGATCGCAATTGGTGTGACATTTTTGATAAAGGAGTAAAAATGGTGTCTATAGAAAAATTTTTCCTCAAAATGGAATCAATTTTGTCCGTTACCCCCTTAACAAAGCCTAAAAATGCCCGTTGCCTGGGAACCTTAGGTAGTCTTTCCTTACACCTTCGGATAGGGTATGACCTCCTTGCGCTGTATCCATTTTTCCATGGGTACATCTGAAAATCAGTTAAAAACATTATTACCGGATTACCCTCAACTAAAATCAGAAGACGACACCCGCCAGTTCTCCAGTCTCCTCGTGACCACGGCTGCTGTAACGTAGCCGAAACGTCGAGGTAAATTAATTGTTTTAAAAAATGCACGAACAAGACCCGATTGAATATAATTATAATATTTTTTATTTGTTCTATTTCTGCAATAATGACTTTCGTAGTTTGGGAATGATAAGATGTGATCTTTAGCAGATTTTAAATTATCAACAGTCCTTATATTTTTAGATGGCTGATGTCCTCTTGTATCAGTTGGAATGGTTCCGGTTGCAGAGTGCTTCTTTTTATCCATTACAATGTTAATGAAACCTTTTGTTTCCCCAAAAGTTTTGCAAAAATAATCTTTACAAATTGGTCTGCTTTCATTTGTTACAAAATACACACGCATCTCGATGCGGTAATAACTGAACAACTTGATTTATACTATTAAAACGTTAAGAAGGTTGTTGGAATAAATCAATATCTCGTGTTGTTCGTTAATAGTTGGCAGTATTATAATGACATGTTGAGTTGTATAAATAATTATAATATGTATGTTTTAATATCTCAAGATGTCACATTGTACCCTTTAGTAAGAGAGTTATTTAAAAATTCACATGTTTGCTGTGTGCGGTAAAACAGATCTATCGACTTAGTCATTTGTTCACCCTATAAATAAAACAATCCTAATGCATATTATACATTAAAAAAATATATATGTAAGTCGACTTATCAACCTATTCACGCCTGGTACGGATATTTTATATAATAGCTAACACTAAAAAAATATTCTTAATACAAAATGCATTAAAAATTCACTTGGTCCCTGGCACCCTGAAATGGGAATCGAACCCACGCCTTTCGCTATCCGGAGAGCAGTCGCCCGGATAGCGAAAGGTGGTCGAAAGGTGGGTGGTCGTGGTTTCAGTATGGTATTGTGAATGCAAAATTATTCAAAATATAATAACTAAAATTACATTTCTGAAAACCGCGTCAAAATCGTATTTAAGTGCGAACCTCCTTTTTTTGTTGGTTTATATACCTAAAATCTTCTCCTAAGTCTGACAATTCTATGCTGAAAACTGCATCAAATTTGGTTCAGTCGAATGCGAGATAATCGCGCACAAGCACACATACGGGTCAAACTGAGAAACTCCTTTTTTGAGGTCGCTTTAAAAAGAATTAAAAGTTCAATTACTTACATAAATAGAAATAAAATCTTAAATTTAATCAAAATTATAAAAAATATATACATTTCAGATTCTCACAATAAACTCTCTCATTGTTCAATCTTTATTGACGTTTCTTTAAAGACCTTTATCTTTTCTTTCTTTTTGAAGTCTGTTAAACTTGTACTGTTCCCTCTTAATTGATGATTGATGAATCAGAAAAAATGCTTTAGGTACGATATCTACCTTTCGTTATATGCGTGGACCAACAGATAAATCCATACCTACATATAGTACTATAAACACTTGAGTTTTTCTTGTAACTAAATCTTAGTATTCATCAATATGTAAGAATTTTATAGAAAAGAGATTATATTTCGGGTGTCTGCCATTAGAATTTAGAAGATGCTAAGTTCAACTTTTTCCAACCCGCTTTAAGCAGTACGGATTTCGTATATAAATCTTTACAACTCACTTCGATTAATCAGGATATTATAAAATGCTATTGGAAAAATAAGAAAAAGATAAATTTGTTTTAAATAATAAAACATTCTAATTTATAATAAGGTTTTAATCATGACAACGGTTATTGCGGCCAGTAATAGGCCGCCAGTGTACTTGTTGTTTAGTGCTGAGTTGCAATCATCCGTGAAGCATTGGCATACTGTTTCGAGATGGTCCTCATTGTCCGCCTTGTAGCAATCACGGTGGTGACGCACCCATCCGCAGCCGCGCATCACACGCACCTCCGAATCGTGATGCTTATGTAATACTGGATGAACAACATACACATAAACCAATATTCACAAAGTTTCAATATTCTAATACTGTAAAAATCTTTGACAGACAAACGGTAATTTTTCCCATCCTAATGTAGTTATCTGTATAACTAATGTAGTTATCTGTATAACTACATTAGGATGGAAAAAATTACCGTTTGTTCAATTGATTCTCGTAATTATAATCTTTTGCTATGGGCAACATTGATAGCTTGTGATCACTTTCTTTCCTAGGTAATTAAGAAATTTTACAATGTGATATTATTGATTTCCGCCCTTAAAAAAAATGTTTAACAAATTTACAAGTCTCAGAGACCCCAAGATGTGACCTCTTAATTAGGTATAGAATCTCAAGTATCCGGATCAATTAAAATGAGGTATATTCCGTATAATTGTAAATCCGGATTATCAATTTCAATATCACATTAAACAATACCTATGTAAAATTTGATCAATTTTATAATGATATTTGTTTTCCATTCATCGCTATATCGCTCACTGAATACTACAGTGGCACAACTCAAAAACCATTATTTCGAGAAAACGCCACAAACATTGTGGTGGCATCCCATAGATAATTTAAAGAAAAAATAAAAAACTTAACAGTAATAATATATTACAAACGATTTAACTGTTATGCTAAAAAAATGATTTTCAAAATTATAAATAAATTAAATTTTCATAACTTCGGAGAGCGTTTCTCGAAATATGGTTTTTGAGTTGTGCCACTGTACTATTCTATGAGCGATATAAAATAAGGAGCTATATCGATATTTAATTACATAATACCTAGGTAATTTATAATTTTGATTGGGAATAACATGTTATTGATCTTTGCATTGATGTACTGATATTGTAACACACCTTTTCATCGCGGCAGTCCCTGATGCACTTTGTAATTGTATGGGATACGATTTGTCATGTCTTTCAAATTAACATCGAGAGGTTCAAAAGACAACCTATCAAGGGATAGGTAAAATAAAAAGACTGTATCGAAAATAAATGAATTGGTGTGTTTTAACTACTGTAGATGCAGCTTGCTTTTTGAACCACAGAGAAGCTCTATATAATAAATTTTTGGTCACCCATCCTTGACCGGCCATTGCGAAAGTTATTAAGTTATTGAGTTCTTAATATACCGTAAGAAATCCAACGTAAAATTCAAGTTACATCATTATGCAAGTATAACCTCTATTCTGTGTTCTGTGAGTATAGAAATAATACTGACTAGTCTGAACGATCTTCCTGCAGAAGAATGCGTGAGGTCCAGGCGTGTAGACCCCCTGCTCGCAGTTGGTGAACCTGAGGTACTTGCGAATCGTTTCCTGGTCGTAGCTGGTGGGGTCTATGCACATACTGTTGTTTGCACTATTGCATTCGTAGCACCGGATAGTAGCACCTGCATTTTTAAACCTTGTTTGCATTATATCAATTATAACAATTCGAGCGATAGAACAATATACATTTGATTATGATTTTGTTTTTGGTTTCACAATCATAGAATTTTTTTTTAAGTTTTCAAACTTTTGAGCATGTTTACAATGAAAAATATTACAATATCTTCTTAAGCGCGAATGTATAAATAAATACTTCTTTTCTAAACGTTAACTATTCATTAGTATTTTAGTATATCTTTAAAAAGGTTTTAAATAAGTTAAGAGGAATATCTTATCAATATATGTGACGACGTCTAATAAAAAATAGCCGATAAAAAAATCTGTTGCAAAAACTTACCCCAACGCATGTTTATGGAAAACACAAAAAGAACAATCGCAGCTTTCATTTTTAAAGCAAAAGCTAAATGCGACACAGTATTTATTAACAATAAAGTTTAAATACTTATTTACAACAATAATTAGGTCAATGGATAATGTTAATGCAACCAATATCAACGGGTTATGTTCTCTACAGATGTATTGACACTGGTCACAATAAGCACCGCAATAATTCATCGTAATAATAACGAGACAGGTCATCTGTGGTAGTATTCTGAAAGAAAACATCAGTTGCTAATTGCAATTGAATTCCATAAACAAAAAGTAAAGTTATCGAATGAAAAATAAAAAACAAGCACTATACAAAAGTTGATATATTCTCGTTTCTTTTTTACATATAAAAGTCGATAGAAAAACAATGTTTAGTTTGTATGTATTAACAATTTTTTGCTCTTCTAACAATTATACGATTGTAAATACCCATAAATCATATTATTATTCTCTATATAATTGCCAAAGTAGTTAATATTTTCCAAATTATAAATTTCCTGAAATTTTCTGTTATCGTTAAGCACCCAAAGTAGACAGCTCTTTTCACGAAAAAATGATAAAACCATATTTATTCGAAACATTTATTTTTATTAAGTTTATAAACATTGTACTACGTACATTATTTAGATAACATTTGAACTCTGTCAGGTAAGATGAAGGAAGATCATGTTTATTTAATACACTTTCCTTGATTTGTTTTTCTAATTTCAAAATATACGAATTATTTTAAAATATTTTCGACAAACATAAAACTTGAGCGTGTTCGACTTTGAAACGTCATATTATTCTCTCTCAATTTCGATCATGAATTGTTGATCGAAGGGTCTCAATATAATTATTACAGCTTACTCTCTACTTACTTAGTTCTTAAAAAAAAAATTAAAAAGTCTTTTTTTGGATTGTTTCTCACACTTTTTCCCGCCAATTCCTATACGCGCATAGCAAAAAAGTCACAGTGGTTAGAAGTGTTACTTTAACGTCCCTATACGTGGTGGCGGCATTACACATATCTCCGAAACATTGACAGACTGTTTCTAAATGGTCCTTATTATCAGCGGTATAACACTGCCTCTTGTGTTTGATCCAACCACAGCCGCGAGTCACTCGAACTTCAGGTGTTTTCTCAGGATGCAAAACTGAAACAATTGGACGGAGTTTTTTTAAATTCAGTAATAATCTTGAATGTTTGACGTTACATTAAAAAACTGTAACATAAGATACCAAATTATATATAAAAATATAGAAAACAATAGTTAATTCTTATACCATTTAGATACATACGCCTGCACGTCAGACTATTCATTGTGGACTTTGTACCTATTGCACTTAGTATAGAACTTCTCTATTAACAGAGGTCTGTTTAAGGTAGTGGTGTATAGCGTGACGTGTGGGCGTGCATACATAAAAAAGTTTTAATATAAAGAAACTAGGAACTAAAGGTGTTGATGGTACGATGCAATGTAACACCCTCTTTTTTCTGTTCTGTGCTTAGAATACTCGTTATCCAACTCTAAGAGTCTCCAGGTAACAGATTCTGATAAGCCCTAAAAGGCATATTAAAAACAAGGAATTACTTAAAAGAGTTTTAAACCCGCAAAACGCTATCATCTATCCCTTATTTGTAAGTATCTTTCTCATTAATGGACGCATCATATAATTTCGTTTTTCTCTTTTGTTTGCATGTCTAACCTTCAATCGTTCGTTGACCATCGTTAACTTTTAGTTTATTTGTATCGCAAATTCATTTGTTTATATTTTGTCGTGATGGAGAGTACGAAAAAATTACGTGCAACTGTCATTTCGCTATTTAAGGCGGGAAAAAAACCGATGCAGATTTTCCGCGAGCTAAAAAGTTGTCCCGTAAGCCGTAATTTCGTCTATTACACAGTACAGCAGTACAAAGAAACAAGTTCTCTGCAAGATCGAAAAAGGAATGGTCGGCCACTCTCTGTGAGGACACCTGCGAACATCAAAATCATCCGAGAGCGACTTCGCCGAAATCCATGTCGCACTCAAAAGAAACTCGCTCGGCAGTCTAATATTTCGCGCATTTCAGTGAACATAATACTGAAATATGTTCTTAAGGTAAAGGCCTATAGCCGTAGAAAAGTTCACTTTTTAAACGATCGTCTTCGTAAGTTATGACGCGAACGTTGTCCATTACTGCTGAAGAGACATGATGCCAGGAAGATATTTTTCACCGACGAGAAAATTTTTACCGTCAAACAAAAGTCCAACCGACAAAAAAATTAAGTGTACGCTAAAAGTAGCAAAGATGTCCCAACTTCTGCACGGAATATCTCGCGCACACATAATCCGTGTCAGTGTGTGGCTAGTTTGATGATATGGTGGGAAGTTTCGTATGAAGGTGTCACTCCGCTCCATTTCTGCCAACAAGGTGCCGAGGTAAAAGCCAAGAATTATCAGAGTGACATTTTAGAGCCCGAGTGAAACCCCTGTCTGATACGTTATTTAACAATAAGGATTGCGTTTTTCAGCAAGACTCGGCGCCATCTCGTAAGGCAAATAGCACCCAAGCTTGGTTGAGGGAGAATGTGCCGGTCTTCATCGCGGCGGACGAGTGGCCCTCCTCCAACCCCGACCTCAACCCGATGGGTAATTCTTTATGGACCGAATTAGAGCTCAGAGGCTGCCGAAAGTCCCACCTAAACATGGAGTCACTGAAGTAAACCCTTGTTCAAGAAACAAAGCGAATTCCGATTAAAAAAATTTATGCCTCCATTAATGACTGGCCAAATCGTCTAAGGGCCTGTATTAAAAACAAGGGCGGTCATTTTTAATAAAATATGTATTTTATTGTTGATTATTAGCTATTTAATAGTTTTAATATAATTTAATTATTATATTAAAAAACTTACGCAATTTTTATTTCGTCTCAAAATTATAAACACACGAGGTAATACAGGACTAGCTAGTCTTAAAAATTACTGTTGATTCAACAAAAAGTAACATATAAATAGAGCTTAAAGTTATTATTTTTATACAAAAATTATTAATAATAATATTGTATAATTTATAATATCTATCTGTTGTAAAATAAATCAGAATAATCCCGTGAAGTATAGGGTATTTATTGTCACGCACTGTTAATTTCAGTGTCGCTTTTTTGTCGCTCATCTATCTATTGTGGCATTCATAATGTTTTTTGTTTGGCCTCCTGCATGGGTAAAGACTAGATAGGCGTTTGATAAAAGCATTTAAAATACACAGCGCTTTATTGTTACATCAGTATTTTTTTTTCAACAACAGCGTCTATACCTTCCCTTATTAAACTATATTCTTTCTATAGAACGAAGTGAACCTCAGAAATAGCGACACTAATCAAAAATATAACGAAACTTTTATAAAACTAGGGTCACATAATTTCGGGGTCAAATACTATTTCCTTCATTAATTTCTAGCTAAGTCCAGAGCAATAGCGATTAGTAGAGCGATTCTATAAAAATCCAAATCTGAATTAGAATTCATTCAGGTGACCGAACTAATTTTGAGAACGAATCCGATTAACCTTGATGTGGTATTCTGGACTCTATTAGATTCGTGGCAAAAGTAAAGTGAGCTTCGAAATGAAATAGAGATGGAATACTCAAAATAAATGTACGCAATGAAAAAGTTGTAATTAAATAGTAAATTTAAGGCTTCTTGTACAACTTTTCTTCCAAATCCATCAGGGCCATATTCTTATACACTCGGTTTTATACTATCCATTTTCGTACTGTAACGAAAAACGTTACGAAACTTTAAGAGGATTTAAATAAAACAGAGTTTTATAACTTAAATAGCTAGTCATAGCCTCATCCTCCAAACTTAAAATGTTTATCAAATGTCGCTACCATACCTAATTAATTCTATGAGATGACTAAATCAAGACATACCATATCGTGAAAAAAGGCCCCTGTGACTTTTATAAATAATAATTTTCACAATAAAAGTAACATGGAGAGACCAAACCGATATAGTCAGAGTAAAGGAAGATTTGCCTGTGTTTATATGTATATATAAATAAAACTTCTACCTTAATAGTTGTAAATAAAAACTAAGTTTTGCTTTGCGCATTTTTTTATACATTGATTGGAAAAGTACTTGATTTCAGAAACTAAATTTAATTATAATCTGCAAAATACAAAATTGTTTAGTATTAATACGTTATATTGTGATTTAACTTTATCGTTTGCATAAGTAAACAAATGAGAAAAGTGGGTGGCTATTTGATTGTTGTATGAAATGTAAAAAAACAAAACATTGTTTTTAAAACTTACATTTAGTTAAATAATATAGTATGCTATTTAATCTAGGAAATTTGAAAGATGAATATTTTTTGTTATTTTATTACACAACTGTCCAAAACGAGTGAATTGTATTTAGGGTTAATATATATAGGTAATTATTATATGGATGTGAGTTTTTTATTCCATCAAAACTTTAGAAATACTCAATAGATATCTAGGGTATCGTTAGAAACTTAGCCTACCTACTTAAATTATAGCCCATGTCACACTCGTATGATGTGGCATCCCGTAAATGAATGTTTTTTTTTAATAGGTCCATTAGTCTATTCAATGCAAACAAATCAAATTTTTCCTCTTTATAATATTATAGTATAGACTTCATTTTCATTACGATCACGTTAGTTCTGTTCTTTATAAAAAGAGCCTCGAACTCGATGTCGATCACAGCGCTATCATAGCATAGAGGTTTAATAAGAAAAACTGTTTCGAAAGGTACTAAAGGTTTTATTTCATTCAAGCTCTATGCTTTCTATCTTGCTTGAGGATGTTTTTTATATATGTTTAAAATATCTTAAGTGTATATCACAGGGCAGTCTGTTTTTATCTCACTTCTAGTTCAACATTAAAAATCTTACTAATATTATAAAGGCGAATGTTTGGATGTCTGTTACTACTTCACGCAAAAAGTACAGGATGGATTTTGATGGAATTTGGTGGTATATGGATAATTCTAAGCCTGGATTAACTTATAGGCTACTTTTTCACCCACTAAACACCATGCGCTGGCGGAAAGCTAGTTTTTAATGGGTCTATTTTATTAGAATAGTTTTATATACTTTCTCACTCACTTGTTTGCGTTATCTTTCTGCAAAAGAAGTTCTGACTAATGGCATTAGGCAGTGCCCTCTCGCAGTCTACCACTGGTATGATGGC